CCCCAAAACCCCAAAACCCCAAAACCCCAAAACCCCAAGTGGCGGACCTCACCTATAATATTTAAATGAAGAGGTCAAGTATTGACACAAGGGTGGAGAGACTTTTGAGGTTCGAGGAGGAGAAGAAGGGGTGGAAAGGTAAGATAGGGGATGGAGTTGGGGAGAGAATGGAGATAATGGTGGTTTAGATATTGAGAAATCCTCGAAGAGCCTGAGGTTGGATAAGTCTGAAGTAAGGGGTTTTGGATGATGGTAAAGGATTCAGCAGGGGTTAAGAGAGAAGGAATTGAAGGACTAAATGTTCCTTATAATAAATCTGTCCTGAAAGTTAAGTCTTTCTTCCAAAATGGGCCGAAGAGTTATATTAATAAATAAATATGGAAGAAGGGCTGGTGGAGAAGACATGTATTTGCAAGAAAGTGGGCATATCAGTTATTTTCATAAGATGATTTATGATTACCACAAACAGTAATTTTTATTTTTAAATTTAGACATTCTCAAGAAAGAAGTAACAAGGATGTACAAAGAGCTATCCAGAGACCGACAAAATTATTTAAAAATTTTAAGATAGATAAAATAAAACAGAGAGAGTAAGTTGAATTTTTATCATTAATTTTTGCTTTAAAAATTGTTCAAACTAACCTTTTCAAACTAATACTTTTATTTCTGGTATCTTTAAGCGTGACCAAATTTTCCTTGCTAGGAAGGGTAACTTAAGGAAGAGGAACAACAAGATTTCAATAACGATTTCTAACCCTCCAAAGCCTCAAGTATTTCAGAATTATTCTGTAAGACTTGTTTGCTTAATATCTGATAGGTGAACTCGAGAAAGCCTAGGAAATCATCTATGCTATCAAAGTATGGAATTGTATTAACTTTAGTTCATCTGGGATGATAAATACTCCAATGAGCTCTGCATATTCAAATGAGACTTCTTTCCAACTCGATTCATCAAAAGTAAGTTCTCTCGTGAGCTCTAGTCTGCGTATTCTCAGGTAATTCAGTGGGCAAAGAAATCTGAAGTGTTTGGTAACAGGATTGCCAAGATTCAGCATTTTCATGAAAAATAAGGCAAAAAGAAGAAGCATCAATACAATTAATCAAACCAGACAAGCCTTTGGGAAGTTCTTCACTACAAAGATCTTTGATGCTCTAGGTGAGTTCGGATTCTAACTCCTAGCGAGAGATGGTCATCTACCAGCAGAGCTGGTCCAGAGGAACAAAGCAAGAATCAAGCGTTATCTTGAAGAGAAATTCAATGAAGAAGATAAGTATGGGGGTGAGCAGGTAGTTTTTGTGGCATAATAATAGGACCAAAATGGATATTTTGGATATGAAGACCCTGATTTCTGGTACAGACACGGGTTCCACCTATCTAAGGAGAAACACATTGGGAGAATAAAGAATGTTAGAAAGAAAATGGCTAAAGAGTTTTTAAAGGGGCATGAAAGTTGGGAGATTCTGTATGGAATCTCTCTATGAAACCTTATGTTAGGCAGATATAAAGAATCTCTTGATATGATCTATCAAGTTTCTGCTATGAAAAAGCATTCTGATAGATTTAAAGCAAAATTTTTGTATCTAGCTGCTCTAAATAACCGTAAATTGGGTTATTATTCAGATGCTAACGTTGTCTATAACCAGTTATAATCAAGAGTAAATTTATCGGATCACCATATAGTTACTAAATACGAAGACGGCAGATACTTAATCAAGTACACTATGGGGCTGATCTTAGTCCCATTAGTTGAAGACAGGAATAAAATAACAGGCCTCATAGAAAGTCTTTCAGAACTCATTGATTTTTACTGTATTGATGAACCTCAAGATTACATTAGTGTCAGTTATAGCTATGAAGCAGAGAAATGGCTGTTTAAGGAAAATGCTATAAGTTACCTCAAAACATTAAAGTTTTTCGAAAGATTCACAACAGAGGAATTAGGCAAAGATGTTCTTCCGTTCTTAAAGCTTAAAAAGTATAAATAAAGATGAAATCATTTTCCCTGATGGAAAGCATGTCTATATTATCATCAGTGGAGATGTAATTTTGAGGTCTCATGAGGAAAAGATCTCACCCTGAAAAATTCTCGCAAGATTTAGACAAGGCGATGTTATTGGATCTGAGTGAGATCTCCCTCAAAATTTAAAATTGAAAGATGAAGGCGAAGTTGAAATAGCTGAAACTTTGAAGGTAGAGAATTGGTGAGTAGTCAGGTGACCAACAGTGACAGCAGTGCTTAAAATAGAAGATTTTAATAGAATATTTGACAAAATATCTAGAATTAGGGACAGATTTGTAAAGATACCAGAAATCCAATCTATTCATCTCTTCACTCATTTATCTAAAATTACACTCCACAGGATCTTGGATATTATGAAGGTGGTAGAACTTCCTGCTGGGGCTTTAATATCTGCTCAAACAAAGAGTTCAAAATTTAACTTTGCTTTTCTCAATTACAACATGAAGAATTCAATTATATCAATTGATAACAAATAAACACATTAGTACTGATGCTGACATTCTGAATCGTAGGAACATTTCATTTGTGATGAGGATCTTTAAGAAAGAAACTCCTGAAGCTAGTGAGGAGTCTATCCATAGTGATAGTCTGTCTGATGAATCCTTCTTGGGTCCTCCCAAGAAAGCAAAGCAATCCTTTTCTAAGTTAAATACTTTCTCTGTCAGTAAATTGAGCAAGGTTGAGTTTGTGAATAAGCCTAAGCAGCTTAAAAGAAGAGTTGCAGTCAGAATGCCCATACACAAAACATTTGATAGTGAAAATGATGGGGTCTATATTGTATCTGACGGTATATGTGTGGTAAGTATATTACATATTGACAAATTTCATTATTCGCTCTTTTATCGAGAAAGCATAAACTGCGTTTTCCTGAATATAATTGTTTTAACAGAATAATAAATATTCATCTAATTAATTTGCTGCTTAATGACTCAAATTGTAGTGAAAATAACAGATCTGATAATTTTGAAGTCACCAAACTAGTAAGAGGTAACCACTTAATCAAATACATAGGGGATTATTGGGGAGAAGGCTCTATTCTTACTAGAAAAGACTTTACAGAATATGGTGATATATTCGCCGAAACCCAAGTCGAGCTCATGTGGATCCCCATTAATGAGTTTAAACAGCTAAATGTATATGAGCTCTTCATTATGATGACTCAGGGTCGCCCTGAGAAGTATATCGGTGTTGAATACACAATAAAGGAAAGGTATGAAAATAAGCGCAAATCAAGATTTTAAAGATTTCATAAAATAACCCTTTCTTGGGGTTTTGGGGTTTTGGGGTTTTGGGGTTTTGGGG